AAATGATTCTAAACAGGGGCAATAAAGAGACAAGTTATAACCTTGAATTAAAATACCAACATTATCACAGAAATCCTAATAAGTAATCATTTGCTTGTAAACATGTGTGATCGTGGACCCAACAAGGGCCAAACTAAGAGAAGAAAATCCAATGTCATCCCCCAAGGAAAGATAAGGAAATAATGTCCTTAAATGACATGAAAATGTATGACCCCGTATGAAGCGTAAAGCTGAGTGAAAGAGTAAAAGGTATAACAATGTCATATTATAAATAACTAAAGAAAAACAGTACGGATTCGATGAATGGATTGCGATAACTGCTTGAAAAGTTACGAACAGCCTGGCCTACGATGCCTACGAGAGATTATTGCAGATAAATACAATTTAACAAGTTACACATATTTCATATCAAGCCAGAAGTGATACGCATATAGACACTCATGGAAAACACACCGCCTTCCCAATGTACAAAGCCATACGTGAATAACTGTATAAGGAAATAATATGGGACCTAAAAAATGCAACAACCTTTTATTATGCCTATGAATCAACCAACCTAAAGTAAGTACTGAGTTATTGTGTGGAAAGTACTGAATGAAGCATCGATAGCCTAAGTCTACACAGTATCATTGTTTCTCCCGAACTGAGCAATGCTCAATCGTGAAGAAATGAAACATATGAACTACCTACTGTTCTCCATGGTCATTGCTCACAGACACGAACGCCAATGGGAAACTAAGCCAATAACCGAACTAGACAGATAACTAGCATTGTTGCCATTGGAAGTGTAGTGGCTCACGAGAATGTCTTGCATTACCTTGTCAACCAAGCGTTCGGACCCAGGAAGCGACCGGCAGCGCCGCTCCGAAGCGGGCAGCTGTTGGTACCGAAAATAGACGGTTTTCGTGGAGACAAGGATGCAACTCTGGATCAAGGCAAGTTCAGTAAATTTGGCGCGAAGTGTCGAACCTGAAGTCTAAGTGGTAACCTAGGTAACGTATCACCTGAACGAGGACGACTCAGGTAAGAGGGTGATATGGGTTTTTATAGACTAACAATAGATTTAAACTCCTCCCTCAAATACAGGCCTATGGCCTTAAAACATATAGATGGAGAGAGAGAAGGAGATAATGTGAGATGGGAGAAAGAGAAGGAGATAATGTGAGATGGAGAGAGATGGAAAGAGAAGGAGAGAGAAGGAGATAATGTGAGATGGAGAGAGATGGAGAGAGAAGGAGATAATGTGAGATGGAGAGAGATGGAGAGAGAAGGAGATAATGTGAGATGAAGAGCGAGAAGGAGATAATGTGAGATGGGAGAGAGAAGGAGATAATGTGAGATGGAGAAAGAGAAGGAGATAATGTGAGATGGAGAGAGATGGAGAGAGAAGGAGAGAGAAGGAGATAATGTGAGATGAAGAGAGCGAAGGAGATAATGTGAGATGGAGAGAGAGAAGGAGATAATGTGAGATGGGAGAGAGAAGGAGATAATGTGAGATGGGAGAGAGAAGGAGATAATGTGAGATGGAATAATGTGAGATGGAGAAAGAGAAGGAGATAATGTGAGATGGAGAGATAGAAGGATATAATCTGAGATGGAGAAAGAGAAGGAGATAATGTGAGATGGAGAAAGAGACATAGATAATGTGAGATGGGGAGAGAGAAGAAGATAATGTGAGAAAAACAGTACGGTCTTCATTGGAGGTCACTGACTGACTGTACCTGTGTGGTTTCAGATTAACGTGAAAATGGCAAGACATTGACAAGAAGATGATGGAATATATTTATCGCCTGGCTGCAGACTGGCATGAAGATGACAGTATTTATCGTAATATTCCAAAAGATTTTTGATGAAGGTTTGCCCAATGCCAAGAGAGCCCAAGCTGGAATGACTCGGTCCCCCATATTTTATAAAGTCCCCTTTTGTGGCTGTTAAAGAGTTGAACGCAATGAAATAATGTTTGTTGGGAGAATAAAGCACAGATTTGGCACCCAGGGACGTCAGGCAGACACAGCTGCTGTGTGACTACAGACAGGAACTTGGGATCCATTCAATGTTGTGAAGGCTTCTTGCACAACACAGCTCATAACACAAACAGTGACTCCAACGCAACAGTTCTACGGGGGCCTTCATGATACGCCAAAGGAATCACATGCTACGCTGCTGGATAAAATACATGGAAGCCGTGGCAGTATCGCAATGTGGCGGCAAACAGTTCAGGATGGGAATCTGTAAGGGCCTTTCATGGATTGCCAGGTCCTCTATGCAGCAGAAACTATATTTATATTTAAATCTATATTTAAAACAGCCCTGTGTCAATATTGATAAAATTCTCTCTAGCGGTTAATTCCATTAAATATTCTCAAAACTGTTCTATGTTCCAGGCACGTAAATATTTATAATGTAATGAGGTGCTGTTATGTGTACCACGAATGTAACAATGTACAAAAAATAGGTAGCATTGTACTCTTTTATATATTCTATGCAAAATAATTACAGATTTGCACATAAACAAAAATCAGATGCCTTTCATATAAGCTGTCTGTGCCCCCCAGTGTGAACTAAACTGTGCAGAACTGCCACTAAAAAAAATATATATATATACATACAAAAATATTTTAAAAATTACGAAAGTATACTAGTGAATCAATGCAATATCACAAAAGATTGAATGTAATTCTAGTACGAACACATCCAGAATTATTAGCAATTAATGTCCGAGGTCCATTGTTCAGTTCCAGCAGCAGTTTAGATTCCTATATTCCGTATACATTGACAATTCGGTAAGTAATCTCCACCGCTATGTGCAAATTATTCACCTTCACTTTATTTTCACTTGGAAAAATCTTGTTGGCAAACCTTTAGCTAGTACAGGTCAATCCCCTGGCAGAAATAGCAGTCACCATTTCAGCCCATTCAACTAATTGCAATGATAAAAAGGACAACAAAGAAATGTAAACCCCCCCAAAAGTGGACAGGATTCGTGTCGCCAAGACGCCCAGTAAACTCCGAGACAGACGCACAGCTGCTACAAAATGAGCAATTTCCTTGTCAGTTTCTCCAAATTCCTGGTTTAGTGCAGAAATCGATATTGTGCTTTTCCTCTCGACTGAGCGATTTCTAGTTGATTTAAATAATATTTATCATATCAAAGCAGTTTATGGATGTTGGAAGGATAAATAGTTTGCCTCACTGTGAGTCCTTAACCTTAAGATACTGCAACTGTAACCATATCCACTGTGCTATCTCACCAGCTTCCGCCGGTCTGTGTCTGTCTGCAGCTCTCTACCTGCTCTCGGTAAAAACCTAGGGCCTCCTGCTGCATTAAAAACACATGCATTATATGAATTAAAACCTGTCTCAGTGATGTTTAATAGATTAATCACTGTATCGTTATTAGTGTGCAGTCTGTAGGTTCGGTATATCTATAACATTTTGTAAATAACGGATTGATACTTGTAACCATTCATCTCGTGCCGGAAACCAACCAACGTGCAGACCAAGGACATATTCAGTCTGCCATTTATTATTATTTTATTATTTATATATAGGGCCAGCAAATTCCGTAGCGCTGTAAAATGAGATTTACGATTTACAATTTACAAACCGTTCTCCTATGGCCACATCCCATCTCTGCATCTCACGGTCTGAGCGTCATAGGAACAGTAGTTTAATTACATATGAGGTGACAATATGAATTTTTATCATTTTTAAAATGGCATACAGGATGGCAGTAGAGGGGGCAAGCAGGATGGCAGTAGAGGGGGTGTACAGGATGGCAGTAGAGGGGGCGTACAGAATGGCAGTAGAGATGGCGTACAGGATGGCAGTAGAAGGGGCGTACAGGATGGCAGTAGAGATGGCATACAGGATGGCAGTAGGGTTCGGCGTACAGGATGGCAGTAGGGTCGGGCATACAGGATGGCAGTAGAGATGGCGTACAGGATGGCAGTATAGGGGCATACAGGATGGCAGTAGTGGGGGCGTACAGGATGGCAGTAGAGGGGGCATACAGGATGGCAGAGGGGATGGGCGTACAGGATGGCAGTAGAGATGGCGTACAGGATGGCAGTATAGGGGGCATACAGGATGGCAGTGGGGTTGGGCGTACAGGATGGCAGTAGAGATAGCGTACAGGATGGCAGTAGAGCGGTATAGGATGGCTGTGGGGGGGTTACAGGATGGCAGTAGGGTTGGGCGTACAGGATGGCAGTAGGGAGTGTATAGGATGGCAGTAGAGGGGGCGTACAGGATGGCAGTAAGGGGTGTACAGGATGGCAGTAGAGGGGACGTACAGGATGGCAGTAGAGAGGGCATACAGGATGGCAGTATAGGGGGCGTACAGAGTGGTAATCAGCATGGCATTGCCCACTCCGTGTGGTTGTATAAATCCCATTGTCCCATAGTTTGTGAGGGAATGATCGATGCTCCTCGATATAATCTCCTGCTCCCTGTATTGTGCAGCTGCATATTAGCATTCACTGCGTCACATGACTCCATGCAGCTGCATTCCTTCCAATTGCAAGCCCCGGGCCATGGGGAGGGAGTCTAAAGGAATCCTGCCTAGGAACAGGTTGTGAGCAGCTGGCCGCACAGCAAACAAAGGGCCCAATACCCCCCCTCTCGCCCCATCACACAGACAGATTGAGGGCAGATAGAGGGGGGCAGGTGGGGGCCAGTGCATGCTAGCATTGCATCAAAGGACACTGACCGCTTCCATCACACAGACAGATTGAGGGCAGATAGAGGGGGCCCAGAGGGGGGCCAGTGCATGCTAGTATTGCATCAAAGGACACTGACCGCTTCCAACACACAGCAATATAGGACCCTTTCCATTTATTTATAAAATATTTTACCAGGATTTACCCAAGCGATGCATCGGGATTCACACTAAATCTCTCTATATAGAGACAGCAGGCGTCTGGGGAATACAGAGAGAGACATTACGGCTCCAAACTGGGAAACATTTTACTGTAATTAATAGGCAATGAGGTTTAATGTTACTCTCCGTCATTAACCCTGTAACCACCCAATCCAGGTCCAGGAAATGATATGTGGCGGCTTTTATCAAAGTGGGAGCTCTCTCGCCTCGTTTGAAACTGTACCGGGCAGTCTGCCAGACCCCACCCTGGCACAGCGGCCACACAGGTCCAATGTTCTGGCACAGGGTCCACATAGGTCCAATGTTCTGGCATAGCAGCCACACAGGTCCAATCGTCTGTCACAGGGTCCACATAAAACATGTTCTGGCACAGGGTCCACATGGGTCCAATGTTCTGGCACAGCAGCCACACAGGTCCAATTGTCTGGCACAAGATCCACATAAAACATGTTCTGGCACCAGATCCACATAGAACCAATGTTCTGTCACAGGGTCCACATAAAACATGTTCTGGCATATGGTCCACATAGGTCCAATGTTCTGTCACAGGGTCCACATAGAACCAAAGTTGTGTCACAGGGTCCACAGAGGTCCAATTTTCCGAAACAGGGTCCACACAGGTCCAATGTTGTGGCACAGGGTCCACATAGAACCAATGTTCTGTCACAGGGTCCATATAGGTGTATTATTCTGTCACAGGCTCCACATAGAACATGTTCTGGCCCCAGGCCCACATAGGACCAATGTTCTGGCACAGGGTCCACATAGAAACTGTGGCAAACATAGCAACTTGGACACTATAACGAGACTGTGCCTTTAAGGGTTGCCTATATGGTTGGGAGATATGGGCTTAACTATGTTGAATGTATACGGGTTGTATTTACATGTATTTGTTGTATTGGCTATCTGCCGATTGCAGATAGCTGTTTGTATTGGATTTTTCTTTCATTTCACGAACGGCACTTTTGCGAGCCGTTCGTGAACCGAAAACACCCCCATGTAATAGCCCACACACTTAGAGGCGTGTGGCGCTTGTTAACCGATTGCAACAATGTTGCAATCGGTAATTAGAGGCTCTCCTAGGTGGCCGCCGTTCGACTACCGACCATGCGGCGGTCGGCCATCTTGGATCCTTTGTTCCCGCAGCGGTGTTAGGTCGTCGAGCGCATGGTACTAAAAACGGCTACTCGACGGCGCGAACACCGCTGAGCCTCCAGGCCGTTCGGGAGCTCCGGGCCGTTCGGTACTTTGTTCCCTGGAAGGCAATCGGTCATTTAAACATGTCTTTTAATAAATGTGTTTTTCGTGCGGCGTTCGGTTGTTTTAGCTGGGATCTGAGCGGTAATCTCACGAATGATGCGCTCAGACCCCAGCTATCTACCGAACGTCCATTCGTGCAAATAGACCGTATATTACCACAGTTATGCATTTTAATATAAATTGTCGGTTCTGCTGCACGGAGGAATAATCCACTTAACGGTATATTCCAGTGGGAGGATCCCTCTCGTGCAGCAGTGCCTGATGGGAGAAATGTCTTGTACAATAAGTCCCCCATGTAGTCCCCTGTGGGACTGCCCCTGGGAAGGGACTCAGGAAACCCTTTGCATGGGGACTTGTATAAATTGTGGAGCTGAAATAAAAGACCTCAGTTGACTCTCAGAACTGTGTTTCGTCCGGTTACTGGGAGATTTGGGATATTGCCTTGCTTTTTCCAGCGCTTGACTGTGGATTATTTCCTGAACCAGCGGAATTCGTGGATTTAATATTGGCGTTCCGCTACAGAAACAATGTTGTGGCACAGGGTCCACATAGGATCCATGTTTTGTCACAGGGTCCACATAGGACCAATGTTCTGTCACAGGGTCCACATAGGTGTATTGTTCTGTCACAGGATCCACATAGAACATGTTCTGGCACAGGGTCCACATAAAACCAATGTTCTGTCACAGGGTCCACATAGAAAAAAATGTTCTGGCACAGGGTCCACATAGAATCAATGTTCTGGCACAGGGTCCATGTAGGTCCAAAGTTCTGGCATAGGGTCCACGTAGGACCAATGTTCTGGCACAGGGTCTACGTAGGACCAATGTTCTGTCACAGGACCCACATAGGTCCAATGTTCTATCACAGGGTCCACATAGGTCCAATGTTCTGGCACAGTGTCAACAAAGGTCCAATATTCTGGCACAGGGTCCACATAGAAAAAATGTTCTGGCACAGGGTTCATGTAGGTCCAATGTTCTGTCACAGGGTCCACATAGGACCAATGTTCTGTCACAGAGTCCACATAGAACCAATGTTCTGGCACAGGGTCCACATAGAACCAATGTTCTGGCACAGGGTCCACATAGGTCCAATGTTATGTCACAGGGTCTACATAGGTGTATTGTTCTGTCCATAGGACCAGTGTTCTGTCACAGGGTCCACATAGGTCCATGTTCTGGCACAGGGTCCACATAGGTCCAATGTTCTGTCACAGGGTCTACATAGGTGTATTGTTCTGTCACAGGGTCCACATAGGACCAGTGTTCTGTCACAGGGTCCACATAGGTCCAATGTTCTGGCACAGGGTCCACATAGGTCCAATGTTCTGGCACAGGGTCAACAAAGAACCAATGTTCTGTCACAGGGTTCCCATAGGTCCAATGAGTCATGGCACCAAGCTAACAGGGTGTCTCTGCATTGGTATAGGTTGGTGCTATGGCTCTAAAGCGGGTACCCCGTCCTAACAGATATTTTATTTACCTTCTCTATACAGACACATCTAATATCCTGCACCTGCTATGGGAAATGTGACGGTAGTCATCATCACAGACTATTTATGTAGGTCCCTGTCAAGGTTAGGTTCCCCAACACCCTAACTATAGGACTAACAGGCAACCCAAGCTAGACATTGTGGAGAAATGCCCCTTTTATACTGTAAATGGACTCCTTGTATGTGTTTGTTAATAGCAATGTTTCCCTATGGCATTCGGTAGGTAAAACTACCGAATGCAGACCACCCTGTTACCCATTATATAGACTGTACCCCCTTGCTGGCTGGATTACGTTCAGCAGAAGTTTTGCATGAACGGCAGGTCTCGCCGCCATTTCGGGACTTCCTCGTGTTCGTGGCCATTTTAGCTCCCGAACAGCGGTGTTTGCCATTGAATGTCTGGAACTGAAAACGGACACTCAAACAGACGAACACCGCTGAAGCCTCCAGACCTTCGGTAAACCCCCTTCTAAACTACCGAACGACCGGGCGTTCGGTGGAAAGACTTACCAACAGATGGGGAATTAAGCGAACCAAGGATGGTAGCTGGATGGCCGGCCATTCGGGAGGTTTTTCATGCGATCTAAGACCGACTGCAGGGCCAGAATTCATGGAACTGTTTTCTGCTACTTTGCCAGTGCAGTCGGTCAAAACTTCTAAGTCCTATATCTCCCGAACGGCTGAACCGAATGGACTGAGTTTTTAATATGTTGGTCTCCCAGACAGTAGCTATTCACTTACCGGGAGTCCTTGGGGTACATCCAAACTTTGGGGAATTTCTGTTACGTTTTAATTGTGTTTAATGGTTATCTGAGGGGAGGGGATGTACAGTATGTATATTGTTAGGATTGGATGTATGGCTAATTATATGGGATGCTCCCTTGCATGGGCTGAATTCCATAAAAAGAGCATGCCTGTCATTGAACCTTCAGTTCATCTTTGTACCCTTATTCTGACTACGTATGCTGTTTGGGAGTTCGTGTGTTTTACTGTGGGAATTATCCAGGAACACTATTGGATTTACAATTGGGAATTCGTCTACCATAACTACCGGACGGAGGGCTATATTCACTGGGCTCTGGCTGTTTGGGAGGAAACTACCGATTAAGGTTTAAATGTACTTGGTTTCCTTACAGACGTATTACCGGTCCTTAAAGTGGTCGGACTTAACGTGAAGAAAAGTAAGTAAAGTAACAGAATAATCAGACGAGCCGAGGTCAGGGCAGGAGAAGGAAGAATAAACAAGAAACTAAGCCAAGGGTCAAGGAAGCCAGAAATTACGGATAACCAGAGACAAGCCAAAGTCAGATACCAGGAAACACACAAGTATACAGTAACGCATTCTCGGGCTACAATAGACCATGACAGGGCAAGGAAGTGATGTAGGAGGGAGGTATGTAGCGGAGAGCTGATATTCCACAGGTTATCTCCACTCAAGATCCGAGTGAGGCTCAGGAACAAGTATTAAAAATACACAAGGCAATAATTTCAGCAGGCAAGACAATCCAATAATATCCCAACATCAATCCCAATGACTGGACGACATACAGCATCAGGAGCAGAACTGAACTTTTAATCACTCAACCTTCTTTTAAAGCTTTCTCCCATGCAAGGAAGGGATTTACAGTAATTATACAATACACCAATCATGCACGAGTTGCCACCCACACATCCCCTCCCCTTAGTATAACTCATAATCCCATTATGCAGTACACAGTTCCCCTGGTTTTCTGGATGTACCCCTAAACATAGGGGTACCCCTTTAAATATTACATCCCCTGGTAACCCTGATCTGGGTGAGAAACATATTAAAAAATCACCCAGATCGGACCAGGGGTTCGGGAATTTCCTGGAGGTAATAAAAAGACTGACTGCGCTGGAGTTAACAGCCGAAAGGGCTGTTTTGGCCCTGCGGTCGGTCACAGAAAAAGGGAATAAAATACACTAACGGCTTGGGTTATGGAGACTGGGGAGAATTCGGATAAACCCCCTTGTTTGTGGGGTTCTTTCTACCGAACGGAGAGCCGTTCAGTAGTTCTTACACGAGTTGACGGCAGTGTGGAGGTCTCAGCCAAACACCGCTGTTCGGGAGTTTAAGATGGCCGCCGCCACATGTTCGTCTCCCGAATGGCGGCCACCCAGAGGACAAAGCACAAACTGCACTGATTGCCAATTACCCGTTTGCAACATTGTTGCGAACGGTAATTGGAGGCACACTTATTCCTGGGAAGGTCTGATTGTTCAGTAGTTTCACTCGCATAATAACTGAAGTGATTTTACCGAACAATCAGACGAAAGCTGCATACACTTTACATACATATGGCAAAAATTAACCGAACACATACGAATACACATAATTCTGAGGACAGCCCAATGCCATCCGCTACACTGCTCTCCCTTGCCCACAAGCCGGCATACACAGTCTGATCCAGCACGGATCGGCTTGGGGATGTCCGGGTTGCTCACGGATCATTTTTCCAAGTATGTCTAGACAACCCGTCAGCGTTTCCATTTTGTTTGCCCGGGCGATACTAAATGTTAAAGTCAAAGGGCTGCAGCGCCAAACTCCATAACAGCAGCCTGACATTGTCCCCAGCCACCCGGTTCAGCCATACCAACGGGTTGTGATCCGTGAGCAAGGAAAAGGGCTTTCCATACAAATACGGCTGCAACTTCTTAAGGGCCCAAACCACAGCCAGGCATTCCTTCTCGATGGCGGCATAGCTTACTTCTCTGGGTAACAACTTGCGATTGATGTAAGCAATGGGATGTTCTCCGCCATCGGCCCCAACTTGGCTCAGTACTGCCCCCAATCCAAACATAGAAGCATCTGTGTGAACAAGAAAACATTTAGTTGGATTGGGAGCTGCCAAGACAGGGGCATTAATAAGTGCATTTTTCAGATGTTGGAATGCCTGCTC